ACGACAATTTGGTATAAGATAGCCTAATGTAGTTGGATTATTGTTACATCACAGTGACGTAGTGAGTTGTAACGGGACGTAGTATATTAATGCAACCGAACACCTGATTTCTTCAATATTGACCCCATCGGAGCTAAGGACGGATTCACCAACCCTGCCGACCCTCGCGTGGTGGAAGAGGCGGGAGCGGCGAATTAGTGGGATCATTTAGTGGGAGCTGGGTTTAACGTGCAACATCGGATGGGTTGAGGGTTTCGGGTGCACGACGGGGTCGTAGACTGGCTCGACTTGAGTTGAGTAGCAAAAAGAGGGCGCAACATCGGATTTTGCATCGAGACGCGAGTACCCATTGTGCCCCGTAACTTGACGATGCGAGTTGTCACTATGCAACAGCTTCAGACACGGCCCATACTCACAGTGCAACCAGCTCTCGAGATTTGTGGCTCCATGTGAGTGGTTAAAGATGTTTGTCTCAGTGCAAAGAGAAGCTTCACTCCGAGCTCATCCCTGCGCAGTTGGCGGATGAGGATGATGAGCTTTACAGCGACGAGCTGCGACCCGGTGACGCCAAGGTGGGATGTTTGTGCGTGGGGTCTGCTTCCAGTCGGCATTGCAATTAGCTGGAGCCAGGGAGATTTAATAACGAGGTCAAGTCTTTTCCGATTCTTGGGCTCGGAGCTTGAGTCAGTTGGCAGGCTTGTCGGATGAGGTTTCGGCAGCACATGACCAGCACATCTACAGCGGACGGCAGCCCCACAGTTTGTTTACCGTGCGAAAGTCTCACCTTAATATGCACCGTGCCACTGAATCTTGTTCCATCCCTAAATGCAAACCTACTTCTGCAGACCTTGCCAGGCTAGTCCGAGAGTGAGTGTCCCTAAATGCAAATCTGGCACAGGGCAAGCGGGCCGCCAGCTCTGCCATCGTTTGAAGAGGTGCCTTCCGCGGACAGACAGAGACCTCAGCCTGATGCTTCTCTGAACACTGAACTAATCCTAAGAGACGGAAAAGGGTCCTAAAAAAAAAGAACTAATCCTAAACCCCTAAACCCTAAACCGGACTAAGATTCGGGACCGTGGTGAATCGAAGGGTGAGGTTCCATCAACGTAGTGTTTTTCTTGACTAGCATCCATAGAATCCCAAGGAGAGCCCTAGCAAACGCCCTATTCCAAGTTCTTTATGTGCGCACTGCTGCTGAGTCCCGGTCCGGAGCCCTTGCACTTCTCATGAAGCGTATTTTTGGTTTTGTCGAGGGTTCTGATGGCTGTCTCTGCACGAGGGGAGGCTCGGGAGTGTGCAATGCGCAGCACACTGAGCTCTCGACCTTTAGCCACTGTTGATTCACGAGAGCACTTTTCTGTTCGCTGCAGGTACAGATGCTCTTGCTTGCAAGTGCGCCGGGTCTCGCCATCGGATGCTGCTGATCCTGGCTTGATGATGTTATGGCCGTCATAAATGCCAATAGTGCACAGTATCGAATATCCTGGTTCTCAGCGTCGTGGCTCAGAGGACTCGTAGCCTCCTCCGACACAGATAATTTCCTTGTTTTCTTTTTTCGCTACCGCTTGAGCCCCTTCGCAGGAAGAAGACCTCGGGTTGTGATCCATGCTAAGGTGGCAAGACGCAGGGCAAGTCTTCGAGGGTTTTGTTGTTGTTGTTGTCCTTGTCCTGCGTAGAGGAGCATTTTCCAAGCGTGGCATGCTCACATGCATTTGAGCTAGGCCTGTGCAGCAGTTTCACGCGCCAAGCCAGATTTTAATTTTCAGCCAGCACAAAGCCAAAGCATTGTGATCCCTGCTCAGTATCGACACAAACACAGAGTTTACTCTGGACTTGTGCCCCTGCTGATCCTACAATAGCCTACCTGTGTGTAGGTCACCACAACAGTAGACATTTCTCTGTGACACCGTTCAGTGCTGATACATCGGATCGTACAGGAAGATGGTTGGAACCACCTTCGCATCCTCCTTGACCCCTGGCTTCAAGCGTAGCACGCCTGAATCGACGTTGCTGGCGCCACCTGAGCTAGGCTTCCGACCCATCTGAGACAGATGGTCAGGGACCACAAGTTTTCAGATGCAAAAGACTGCAAAAACATGGCCGTGCGTTTCTATGCACAATACTATGGTGGGGGGTTCCTAATTGTGGTTCCTTATTCCTTATTGTGACTATGCTATAATATACCCCCCACACCCTATTCTAATTATACAGGCCCCTTTTGTAGCTGCGCGAGCCGGGTGCAGGCCTTTCGCAACGATCCGCGGCTGTCCGAGCGCACCTCGCTCAAGCAGCGCCGACTGTGGGAGCGCAAGCCAGCAGAGTCATGCAACATCAAGCACGTGCTAGAAGCTAGCCGAAGAGAGAGAGAGAGAGAGAGAGAGAGAGAGAGAGAGAGAGAGAGAGAGAGCCGGGAAGCCCCAGTTCTTCAAAGTGCCTCAGCAGAGCAGAGTTGACGGTTGTGTTTGGCGTCCTTCTCTGAGGTGTCCAAGATGAAGACCAGTACCTGGGGCGCCGCGGTCGCAGTTCTCGTAGCTCCCCCTGTTCTGGCATGTTAGGATGTGCTGTCATCGGACAGTTGGGGAGTGAAGCCACGGCGTTGAATACTCACAGATGCATTTGGTGGAATATAAGCGTCATACTGCTTGGAAGGCATAGAACCAGGGAAATGCTACAGGCACAGCTTTGGGAGGCGTAGTTGTGATTTTGACATGTTTCGGGCCTATACGGGAAGTCCCAGAACCCATCGCTTGTCCGTGACCGAGACCTAAAATAGACACAGGCCGATCATGGGGCCGAAGTTCCAGAAGTGACCTAAACCCTCGCAAAACACCCTTGTGATCGGCATCACAGTGGAATTGTCAGAGACAGTATGCAACTACTACCCCGCTTTTTTGAAACTGGAGTGGCTAAATGCAGAAAACAAGAGTCGGAAGCTCGTATAGATGACACTCGACTCAAATGGAAACGCAAGATGAAACTCCGATTTTCCATTATGAGCTCTAGTCTCGAACTACAGGAACTTGCAATCAGGAAGCTCATCGGTGAACTAATGAATCTAGCACAGGCAAGGCTGCGAAGCCTGAAAGGCCACCTGTAACAATACAGTAGTGACAACGTCAGGTTTGCATCGGGCATTTTTGCAGGCGCATCATTAACCAGATCGGCTCCCTCACAGATCCGGATCAGGCAGACTACGCCCGATCCTCAGCCTCATCCCTCGCTTCTGGAAAGTGCGAAGGTCACGACATCACGCCCATCGAAGCTTCAGATTTCGGAACACAAAGCTCAGATTCATTCATGCTGCATCAAGTTTAGACTCTTGTAGACTTTGGACCAAGCCAGACCTCGCAACGTTCACGAAGTCGCTGGTTAGGCCAGTTGTCCTCTCTCTTTCTCTATGTCTCTCTTTGCTCTGCTCTCTGTTAGATTTTCTCTCTCTCTCTCTCTCTCTCCCTCCCTGCTCCCCTCCCGCTCGCTCTCGCTCTTGCGGGCAGGTGTGAAGGTAGGTCTGGGCATGAATGATACTATACAAAACTATGGAGGATGGGGTTGTGTCGGGTGGGTGGATGTTGGTTCGTGTGTTGGGGCCCAGTCGCATCGCCGCCACGACATCATGATATTATATGATATTGTATTTGTTGCTCTCCGTTCCTCCAACTTGTTCTTCGTCGAAGCACTTTTGGTATTCATGTTAATGCCAGCTGTGAGGGCTTCTAGATTGCCGACAGGATATCACTGGCCGATGCACCACAAATGTATGCCTTGACGGCAGCGTGGACTGATCCAGGTGCGGTACCTACCTACAGATCCACATGGCAGCCTCCCAGATGGCGCATCGCGGATGCCGATTCAGCCTGGGTTTATTGTCGGGGTAGTTCAAGGAACGCGGCGATTCTGCCACTGTTATGTAGTAAGCTCTTTCAGCGATTTTTGCAAGTCACCCTCTCAGTGTGTCCCAGAGCCCGTTGGAAGTCGAGCCATGCTGCAGCAAGGTCGACTTCCGACGAAACATCATCACCTGTGAGGATGTCCTGAAGCAGATCATGTGCCACCAGGCAGGCCCATTGTTTGGGGCTGGAGGAGCACTGGAGTCGAACGAATCTTACAGCGTTAGGAGTCGTCGGCCTCAATTGCTTCTGATTTCTGCGACGGGGGTTTGCTTCTGCATGCGAAGTTCGATCTCCGCCCCATCATTTCGAAAGCCTATCACAGGACTGGCTTCACTCATCCTCACTCCCAACCCCCAGCAGTTCAAAGGACATCCTAGAACCCTTGGCCTTTGAACACCGAAAATCCTGATGAACCAATGTGAGAGTTTGAGAAATCAGGGACCCTCATGTAATCGTAGATCGTAGGATCCGTATTTTAGGAACCCCCTAAGAAGACCCCTGGAAAACCCGAAAACCCCATGTGCGAATAGGTTTACCTTCAGAAAGATCTCGGCTCCCTTCGGCGGGTGCAGCGCCTGCTTTCAGGCCCATGTGCTTGGCGATTTCCGTGCAGGGCTTGGGGTGCTCCGACATTGGGGTTTCGATGTTGAAAACTCATTTCTTAAAGATGGACTTCGAGATTGTGGGGTTATAAGGCTAAGGCTATGTATGCTGGCAAGGTGGGTTGCGGAGCGTGCTTGACACTCCCGATACGGTAGAAGTGATTCGCCAGCACTGTTGGTTGACATGCTGGCCAGAGGTTATCTTGAGTTCTTGTTCGTTGACAGCAGTCAAGTACAACCCGCTTCACTTTGCAAGACCCGGAACGTCATTATCCTGAGTGCAGGTGGTGTACCAGACTTAAAACTGAGAATTACTTGTTATGACATAGGCCCCAAGTCCTCCAGACGTGTTGGATGGGCGTAGTTCTTCAAAGTAGGGTCCTTTTAGGGTCTCTTTTGTGATGGCAACGGCGGCGTACTATTTTATGGACCTAACAAGAGACCCGTCTTCAGACGTGCTGGCCCCCGCCTGTGAGTCAACAGAAATCGGAGAACTATCCATGGAGGCATGATTTCTTCGGCTCGAGATTCTGGCGATCCCTCGGCTGTGCAGAAGGCGGCGTTCAGGGCACGACTTGATGCTGAGAATACGGCGAGAATAGTAACATTAATTTTTATGTTCATGATAGCAATGATGATGATGATCATCATCATCATCATCATTATGTTCGTCGGTGGAAGGAAGAGTAGCTTGTCACCTCTTGGAGACAGTCAGGACTGCCCGCTCAGCGTGAAAGCGAAACGAATCCCACGTCTCTATGACTGACAGGGTATAAAAACACAAGAAGTTTTTTACCTGCGTAATAATACGTGGTCTTATACGTGTCTCACGATGACGTCTTGGCATAGGTTCACCGGTCTATCGTGGAGTCGGGTGCGGACCTGAGATTGTGAACCCAAGTAGTTGCGCAGGTGTGTAGCAACAGCCAATACATAGTTCATATTTGGGCGAATTGCTTGGTGAAGCTTCAGCAACCAGAAGCCCTCAATCCTGAAACTTGAGATCCAAGGCATCACGCAGCTGATTGTGCAAATGTTGGACGACCAGGTGTTCGTGGGAGCCCCTGCCTCTCGGCTGCTTATGACGGGCCTTAGTGCGGGCATGGCTCCTCAAGGAACCGAGTGTCATCCTTGCGAGTGAGCTTATAGTCTGTGGAGGAATTTGCCGGCGTCGTTTCTGTTTCTCGTTGGAAGGTATGCAAAATCGTGGCTTCTGCAAGACGTAAGACCAGCGCTCAATCTGTTAGACCAGAAATCGCCGCAAACCCTATTATCTCAGGAAGATGTCACCGATGCCGCATGGCAGCTGCTGATCGATGTTCTCTGCGAGAAGAGGACCTGCAAAGCCAAAAGCGTGCAGCCCCGTCCGTCCTTTCAGCAGAGAATGTAGAGGTTTACTCCTACATTCTAAGTATGTACTTAGACCCCCCAAAATACCCTACAAGTATATACTTAGACCCCCCAAAATACCCTACAAGTATATACTTAGACCCCCAAGATACCCTACAAGTATATACTTAGACACCCAAAATACCTGACATATAAGTATATACTTAGACCCCCAACAAATGGTATCCGTGTTTAGGGGTCCATGGTTCGATATTCGCCTGTCGTCAGACTTGCCTCGCTCCGGCACTGCTCTGTAATCCAGAGTTCGATTCGGGAGTTTCCGAAAATTAGGGGTACCTTATTTTGGGGTCCTTATAATAAGGATCCTACTATTTGGGGTGCTATATCCGGGTCCCCTACTTTCGGAAACTCCAACATTGGTCTTACTCAGGGTAACAACAAGTAACAAGCCCACACTCTAGAACTCTGGAGCCTGAAGCCCGAAATGGGGTGAGCCGAGCTTCGAAGCCTTCATATATACCCTTCAAGGCTGTCGGTTCTGCATCCTGAAGGAGTGCCTCGGGCGTGCAGCAGGTGAGCAAAGCGGTGCAGCAAAGCATCCTTCAAGTCTGCAAGACAGGTGGGGGGTTTAGGGGGTCGAGGGGGTTTGGGGTTTAGGGGTTTTTGGGTTTAGGGGGGTTCCAAAGGGGTCCGATTGTATGGCGAAAACAGCACATTGAAAATCGTACTGAGCTCGTACTGTCAAGAGTTCTTTTGCCAGCATGGCATGCGTCCTTCCGGGCTCAGTTTGGTGTGGCATTTGCGCGATGGCCCCGAAATATTTCTACGAGAACCTACCCCAAAACCTGTTCTAATTGCAAGGGCCCTTCGACTAAGACCCCGAAGCAACTTTGCAGTTGAAACCCTCCGCCTCGGAGGCGTGGACGCGGGCATGTTCGAGTCCTTTCGGGAGATTCTGGGCATCGTCATCAGCAGCTCGGCTGAAGGAAGCTCTGAGGGTTCCGACCCTTTCAGTAAGTCGGTGAGATGCCGTGTTTGGAGTATGTGTCTTGTTCCACAAACTCAGAGGTTCCAAGGAAGCCCGACATGAAGCCGTGCATCTAGGACATGCAGCAGCTGCGTGGTTCGAATTGCGGCAGAAAATCACAGCAAGCTAGCGTGCCCGAGAAGATGCTCTTGAAATCCACTGCAAGACGGTGTTCTGCAGCTGAAACGATCCGTGTTTCGGGCAGCAGGCGGATTGGCATGTCACTTGGAAGGTGCGGTGCTTTGCTACCACAGGACATCGCCTTTTTTTTTCTTGCCTAGTTCGCTGTCCTGCTGCACTGCTCTACTCTGCAAAGTCAAACTTGTACCACTGAATTTGGTAGCTGTGCCATGATCGGCAACATCCTGCAAGAGAGCGCGGAAACAATGCAGGGTATGTTGCAACCTCTAGTTTTGGCGCGTGGTCTTCAGCAACTCCAGTCGCTAGTCGGAATGACATTGCACTGCCGAGGCAAGTCCAAGGCAGTGCGCAGCCTGACTCTTGGCCTTGAAGTGCTTCTTCAACCGGATACGGAAACATCCGGAACAGATGGTCCTACCTTGTTTGTTTCTAGATTCTCGGCCCGAGGCCCGAGGTGATATTCAAGATAACTTGGGGTTGAATGCTTGCCACAGCTCCCGCCAAAGTATCATCGATTTCGATTTTTCCGGTTTTAGGCGGCAGAGAGTGCTAAGCCCCCAGGCGCAGTGGGCTTCGGGTAAACGGCATAAGTCTTTGGTTTCGGCATGGCAGTGCTGAATTGCGCGAGCTTTTAGTTTGGTGATTGTCGAGACGTGGTCCTTTATCTCACCCAAGCCTTACTCTCAAGATGCGCGACAGTCTAGAATCTAGCTCAACAAGGCACCCGCGTCCCCTCCAAAAATCCATCCTTTCGAGTGTGATTCCTCAGCCCGACTCAATTCAGCATTTAAACCCCAAACATCTCTAACAACCTCCAACTGTGAGGAAGCTGCTCGCCAAGCTGAATCCAGAGGAGCCCTCGAATGTGCTCAGAGTCTAGGTTTATGGAATTGATGGAGTACAGGGTGTGCAGGGTGTTGGGCTGCCATCCAGTTCGAAACTGCTGGAAAAAGGCTTTAGGCTTCGGCTGGAGTCCGTATCGTTGGGATCACCGGCAAAGCAACCATTGCACCTGATTACCTCGACAAAGTCCGCCATTACAGTTGACTGGTTGATGGGGCTGACGTGACAAAGTTTCGGTTTATGAGCGAATGTGTACCCTGAAGCCCCTCTTGTTTCCAGGCCCCAGGCTCGTGCATGTACAAGATCTTGATCGGAAGCTTCCGCAGATACACATGCTCGTGCATGTATGCAAGACCTATACGCCCATACATACATCGATGCATGGATGCGCACATACATAAACATGCACATGTCTCGGTGCTGATGTGCAAGCATTCGTATCTGGGCACCTCGGAATAAAACCAAATCCACACCTCGAGAAGCACGATTCAGAGAGGAGCAGCGCCAAATTGACGACCTGAAGGCAGCCCCAGAGAAGAGTACGCAGGGCTTAATATAGGGGCCCAAAGAATTACCAATACTATTGTGGGGGTCCTTGTTATCATTATACTAGTAGTATACTATACCCCAAAACCCTGTTCTAATTACCAAGGCCCCTATATTACATGTTGCTGGTTGAGCCTGAGAGTTGCGGTTTGAGGTTTCTTGCCTCTTCGGGGCATGCGAAGTCGGGTTGGCTTACAGGCGAATCCATTCAAAGACTGCTGTAATGGTTTCGTCCGAGGATCGGGGTAGCTCCTAGGTCCTAGATGTCGCCAGAATGATGCAGGATTGTGACTTCTTGCGCCAAATGGCTTCACCGGTTAAGATGTGCTACTTCCGACTCTTTGGTGTTGTCTTTCCAAGCTCGTTGCCAGCACGGAGAGGTACCCTCCACCAGCCCTGGGTTACATGAAACACGGCATCCCGTCGCCCTCCTGCTTGGCAGGATCGTTTGTAAGGGACTCTGAGAATCCTTTCGGAAGCGTTCTGGGAGGCCAGCATGAAGGATGCAGTGCGGGCCATGGAGGCGTGGAGCTTTGTTTAGGTGAAGCTTTGGTGTGCTGGAGATTTGCTGCAGAGAGTAGAGCCGGGTACTTTGTGCTATGAGGTTTCGAGCTTTCGTTGTAAGGTTTAGTTTAGCCTCCGAAACAATTCGGCGACGTACCCACTGCATGCCACAGCGCTTCATTGCCTTTCTTCTTCGCAAGATTGCCAAGGGAGCGTAGACCGTATAAGCCCCTAAAACCCAGCCGAAACTTCCCTAGCCCTAAACTCTTTGGGATCTGAAGAATCTGGCGATTGTGCCTCGGGGTCCGAGGCCATGCGGCTCATGGTGGAGGGACACTTCTTCCCCATGCAGCAGCACCGGGGCTCCGATATCTTGTGCTGAATTTTCTAGGATGAGGCTAGGATCACCCCAGCTTTGGGATCCATGATCAGGCTTGGGGCGGAAATTAAGTTGTTGCGTTTCGTGCCTTTGAAAACTCAACGTGGGATGATTTGAGAGGCGATCGGGCTTCCGAGGTTGGCTCCGACTTCGAAGTTCAACCGTTAGGGGTTGCTCTTGCAAGATGCTGTAACAGACTGCTGCATTCTACTTGGGTTTCGGTATGTTTGAGGCTGAAGACACCAGGCTCAGGGGCTCTCAGGCTTGAAGAGATTGTGGTGTAGGTGTGGGCTGCTGATGCTTGGGGGCTTTCAGAATTCAGGTTGAACTCTGGTTGTTGCAGTGATCCCTCCTTTATGCACAGACCGTTTCGGGCACGGACCGAAGATGGAGACCGCCCAAGCTGCGTTGGAAAGCTCTTCCTTACAGCGAGATCATAGCCTGCAGCCGCTCATGGTTCCGACGCGCTCAGGACCTCACTCAGCCGTGCTTTCAGTTGCTTCTATGTTTCGTGCTTTCCTGCATAGCCATGCGGCACCAAGCCCGGAAACACACCAACAAGATGAGGCATTTGCATTCTCAGTCGGGTTCGAGCCGCTCTTGCGACGTCCTGGAGCAGACCTCTCGATTATTGATTCAGCTGGCCAAGGCGACCGTAGTAGTCATGAGTTGTGGGGGTTGAGCAAATTCAGGATTCAGGTAGCTGTTTTGATTATGGTGATGGGTGGAATGGTGTGCTGCTGTTCTGAACATAAAGCCATAACTTCCGTGAGCCCGACGAATCGGAGATAACGCTGGTAGCACAGTCTTTGCCGTGATGTTTAGCGTTGCCTAGCTGGGCAGGATAGCACAGCCAAGACTATCTCTTGAATCCTAGAATTTCCTAAAACCTTTTCAGACAGGAACCTTAAGCCACAATAATTGCCATATCATCTTCAGGATCCGAAAGGCGGAGATACGATGATGGTGGAGGAAATTGAGTGCCTCAGTCTGGCTCCCGGTCAGGTTGTCGTCAATACAGAGGTAATACGTTAAACAAGCAGTAATAGTGTTCCTCCATAGCCCATGTGTAAATAGCTATGGCCTAACAAACCCTCAACCCCTATTCTGGCGTAGACTTCGTGCATCTTCTTGCGTGCGCCTGCAACCACTTCTTTGTTGTTCTACGGCCGTATGGGCCATAAGCCATATAGGCTTAAACATATCATTAGTCAAAATTGTGACATGCGATTGCTGTGTATGAATGTCTAACCGATAAGGGCTTATATACTTGAAGAAAATGACCGCGCAAAGCCGGCCGGAGGCACTGGTCTATGGAAGTTGTCAGATGTGAGCCCAGGTCAAGCATTGACGCTGCTCATCGAACTGTGTCAAGGGCCAAACCTTCAAAATCAGGCACGCCGATCATTGTACGAGGATCTCACCATTCATTTTTAGCTGAGTAGGCATATGTGCGTAGGGACGTTGGCCCTGGGCGAGCTGGAACATCTGTGAAAGTCGGCTTGACAACCTCAAACTACACATGTCCGCTGTGTGGCACCCTCGAATCCGTGCCTGCCCTGTACGAGTGTGAGTGTCGAAACTACGCATGTTCGGGGCCGACGGAGGAGTTGGCAGGGACCTGGTAGGCCCAGGAGATCGGAGGAGTCAAGGCATGCAGGAGGGCTTGAATGTGTGCCTGCCGACAGGAGTTTGTGAGTACTCTGGGCCTGGTAGAAGCCAGCTCCCGTGGCTTGGCTGTGTCGTTTTGCGATGACGGTTTAGGGGGCTAGTCATCTTGCTTGCAGTGCAGCCTGTAACGAGCGGCCCGGCTGAACAAGGGTTAAGGCCTGTAGGGACGGGGCTTACAGGCCCCGCAGCTTTAGTGCTCCTGGTATTGGGATTTGTGATTTGTATGGAAGAGTCAGGCAGGTCAAGGTCAACTCACATGTTCCAAGCACTTTCTTCTCGCCTTTGGCTTTACGTTGCATCGCGGGTCCACCCACGAATGACTTTCCAGGGCAATGCTACAAAATGCCTCGGTCCTATGATGACATGATTCGTCACGCTTCTTCGGGCAGTTTGTACGTGTAGGCTGGTTCTAGCATTAATGCCTTATGAAGTCATACATACACGCACATGCATCTCTACAAATGTATATATATATATATATATATATGTATGTATGTATGTATATGTTATATATACACACTCATAAGTACACACGTATGTAATGTACATACACACGTACATGCATGCATACATTCCTACATACCTAAGTACATACATAAATACATATGTACATTTAGGTAGATTTGGGTCAAATACTTCTTCGTACTTGTCTACATCCCAAAGAACTTTGGTCTCAGGGCTCTTGCAGCCGAGCTTCGAGATGATCTGCCGATTGGAAGGCCCGGCTTCGCTAGGACGTGCTTTCTGTATCTTGTACCCGCTTTTACCTGTGTCTCCGACAAGAACCGACAAGAATGAGACGACGACGACAGCGGCAGCAGCAGCAACTGCCAACAATCAGTAATGCCACTCATCATGGTAGTAGCTTTGCTACTTACAACGGTAAACACACCCATACAGACTCGTTCTGCAGCTAGCTTGCTACTTGGTTGTTGTTGTCGGGCGATGGTTCTTGCTTTTGCTGCTGCTGCTGCCTCTG